AATTTTAGGTCAAATGAACCACATAGTAGTTTAAAGTTCTTCAAAGACGATTAGCGAGTTTTAAACAAAATCAGGGAATCTTGATAATGCACACTTAGATTTTTTTTTTGCCGAGATTGGCACCACCGAGCAGGCTCGGCGTTTATTTTTACGGAGATCGCAGCAACATTTATGTTTGTTGGCCAAGATCTCGGCAAAATTCCCGTTTGTTAACTGAATCTCAGCAAATTTTTCACTAAGATCCAGCAAAATAGATTGCCAAGCTGCTCGGTGGTGCCCATCTTGGCAAAAAATCAAAGTATGTGCATTAGAATCCTTTATAAAAACTAGGAAACCTCAGAGAAAGTTGAAAATTTTTAAGGAAATTTAATGAACTTTTGAAAAGTTTTAGGTAATTTAGGTGTTTGAACGACCTAAACAAAATTCAAGAAACCACAGGAACTTTGATAGCTTAGTAGTTCATTGAAAATATGTTCTACAACCCGTTACTAGTACTGTAATATTTGCTGCTTGATACGTTTTCGATCGATCGACACGTGTTTGATTTAAGATTCGCGTGGATTTGGTGCGGGATTTATTTCAAATTTATCGTAGCAACTCTAAACCGGTCTAAAAATTTGTTTAAATATTACAAGTTTGATTTCCAAGTTTTTTGTAGTTTCTGGCAGCAGGATACTCTACATAGCTCACTTTCTATTGAAAATGTGCTTCTTTTGATCTGCTCGTCTCACACACTTAAGTTAGTATAAATTAGCTTTATTGTTAAAACTTTAAGCAACTGGCTGGCTGGCCTCTTATTACACAGTACTTCTGCAATTCATTTGGCTGAGATTCAGTAAAACAATTGCCAAGACTCAGTTAACAAATTAAATTTTTGTTGAAATCGCAGCTAACAAACATATATAAAGGGCGAACACGAAATTATTGCGACACATTCAACAGGGCATAACTTTTTTACCATTGGGTAAAAATCAACCAAATTTTGCACACTTTCTCATTGATGTGTATTGTGTACATGCTGTCAAACTCGAAGTCGTGTTTTTCGATTCAACGAAAATGGAGGTGAACCAACGCGAGTTGAGAGAACAAATTCTTTCCAAACACCTGGAATTTCCTGACCTGTCGCACCGGAAGTTGGGAAAAATGTTGAACATTCACCATTCAACCGTCTCCAGAGTGTTGAAGCGGTTCCAGGAGCGGTTGACGTTGGACCACGGCAAAGGAGCTGGAAGAAAACCGGGACCGGAGAACAAAAAGACGGAGGGAAAGGTGAAGCGGATGATTAAAGCAAATCCCAACGTCTCAAGCCGTGATTTGGCTAAAAAAGATCGGCATGTTGCAGAGCTACGTCCAGAATGCAAAGAAGAGAGCTGGACTACATACATACAAGGTACAGAACTTCCCAAACCGCGATGAGCGGCAACAATCGACGGCTAAAACTCGGGCACGGAAGCTCTACGAGAAGATGCTGACAAAATATGGCTGCTGTGTGATGGACGACGAAACGTATATAAAAGCCGATTTTAAGCAAATTCCGGGGTTGGAGTTTTTCACCGGCAAGAGCAAGTTCGATGTAGACGACAAATTTAAGAAGAAGAAAATGTCGAAGTTCGCCTCCAAATATCTCATTTGGCAGGCCATCTGCTCTTGCGGACTGAGGAGTGAGCCTTTCGTGACAAAGGGCACAGTAAATGGCGAGATCTACAAATCTGAGTGCCTCGAGAAGCGCCTTTTGCCGTTCTTGCAGCAACACGACGAAGCTCCGCTATTTTGGCCAGATTTGGCATCATGCCACTATTCTAAAAGTGTCCTGGAGTGGTATGAGGCCAATTCCGTCAATTTTGTTCCAAAGGACATGAATCCGCCAAACTGTCCGGAGCTGCGCCCGGTGGAGCAGTACTGGGCAATAATGAAGCGGGAACTTCGGAAGAGCAAGAAGACAGTCAAAGACGAGAAGGACATGTTAAGAAAATGGAAAAAAAAAACTGAGAAACTGGTACCGGATGACACTGTAAAGACTTTGATGGAGGGCATCAAGCGAAAATGCGTTCAATTTTACACTCAAGGCTCCATCGATTAACTTTTCTTTTGATTTTTGAAGTAAATATATGTATAAAACTACCCTAAAATTTTGGTTTGATTCTAAACATTATAAGAAAATTGGCATGACATTTTCGGTGTCGCAATAATTTCGTGTTCGCCCTTTATTGCAGAGATATCAGCAAAAGTAAATGCCGGATGCTGGAGATTTTACCGAGCTAGATTGAGTGTGTATATTGTCCTGAAGATGTTCAATGAGTATCAATTATGGGCTTTGATTGAAATGATCTAATACATTAACCCTTTTATGGGACAAATTCCCACCTAATTGTTACACACCTTTCTGTTATTTTGCGAATTTATGTGTTTAAAACCCCTTTTGAAGTATTAATTTATCAAGAAATCTTTGAATACGATTCATGAAGCGTTTCCACAATTGATCGGTTATTTATTTCTGTCACAACGTTCCTAAGGAATCTTTCACATGTTTCTAAGAACCCAATTATTGCACGACTCATTTGCTTTAAACTGCATTCTATTATTTCACAACCTCAAATTATACGCAAATGCATCTTAGAATGTATTTTTTCAGCTAGAAGTATTTTTCAGTCAGTCTGTTAGATGATTGAATGTAACTTTTTGGTTTAGTGCGCTTAAGTTATCAGTTATTTTATTTATTTTATTGAGCAGATCAATCACTTTCATAACTCATGGTCCTGGATTATTGTCTATATGATAATTGTGATTCAATTATTGAACATTAAAGATTTTCTTATAAATTTTACGTGGTCAATAGTTGTATTGCAATAGATCGTTTGCAGCACCGTACTCAGCTGGTGACGAAGGTCCTGAAGAGGCGAAATTTTTTGGATGTTAAACGCTGTACAGACTGGAGAGTTAAAACATGTTATAACGGTTTTCAAATAACTGCCACACAGAAACCACCATCAAGATAGCACTATAACATGTTATAACTCTGTAGTCTGAACGTACTATGACAGAGAGAATTTATTTTTACATAACAGCTTGCATACATTCTGGAAACCATAGCCAATTTCTGTTCGAAAATCGCATGGTAGATGATACCTGAGCAAATCCACGCCAACTGACGAATCGGTTAAACTTAACCCTCTCCAAATTGCATGAAACTTTGCATAATTGTTCACTTGGGGCAACAAACCAAGTTTGTCTGGAATTGGGCAATTTTGACTCGCGCCAAACTTTTCGAAATTGCGTATTCAATGTTTTTTTCACTAAATCCTAGCACAAAAAGAGGTAATTTAATCGAAATTACGTCTGAAACAAAGTTGTAGGAAAAATCAGAAAAAAATACACACTGAAAAGAAATCTAATATTTTTGAACTTTTTTTTGCGAAAATTATTTTTATTATGTTTTTTTGCGGAAAATAATTGCTTAAGTCCAAAAAATCATTTCCTATGCACAAATTACAAAAGTTTTACGTGAAAAAAAAAGTTCAAAAGTTTTATTAAAGTTGTCAATTATGTGTCCATCGTGTGCAATATCAGAAAAGTTAGCATTCTTGGTTAGCTTGAAATAAACATATGTTTTGAAATATTAAAAAAAAATCATTTTTCTGCTATTGAAGTTTTTAACAGTGTTTGATTTTTATGTTCCCAACAACTTTGTCTCAGACGTCGATTTTTCGATTAGATGAGCCGTTTTCGTGCTATGATTGATTGAATAACCTAAAAAACGCCATCTTGAAAAATTATGCACAACTCAAAATGGCCGAGTTCCAGCATACATTTGATATGTTGCCCATAGCTAACCACTATGCAAAGTTTCTGGAATTTTGATAGATAAAATCTAAAATTCGTTAATTTTTTCGCTCCTCGGCATGGTTTTCCTCACCTTCTGAATTGAATACAGCACTATTCATTGGACGATATCTACTAAAACATCAAAACAGTTTTCTCAGCGCGTTTGCTGCTGCTGTTTAGCCAATGCAAAAAATGAAAAATGTCTGAAAATTGATTGTAGTAATTCACATAGGAAATCGATGAAAGGAAAATGATCTATTCTAGTAGCATATAATCTTTATGATTCTCAACGTTTAATGTAATAAAATTTACATTGGGGGGTGCCAAATTGAGAGTTTGCCACTTATCAAAAAAATCCTTAGTATAGCTCTGATCGTTAGATAAAACAATAACCAAAGTTCTTCTGTACAGGTTACTAAGGGTAATTGAATTAGTAATGGCTTATTGTACAAATGACGATTCTTAGCTGAAGAATTAACAACATACATAAAGACAATATTCCTAATACTGAATATCTATATTTGATCAATGGTTAACATGTCACCATGATCGGTAATTGTCATGGTCATGGATAAATGTTTCACAGTAAATAATGTTAATACCTACTTTGGAGCACATGTCGCTAGTGAATAAAAGTTACGAAGATTTATTTTGCATGCAGAAAACCGGAAAATATTGATTTAAACGAAATAAGCCTCTTTTCTGAAAAAAAAAAATTGGCTGGGCCAATTTTTTACGGAAAACTAATATTTTATTCTGTTTTCGCTTCAAAAATGAATATTTTTGATAAAATGTTCAAAACATTATTTTTTCGGCTAACTTTTCGCTTCTAGAAAAGTGGCAACATGCTGTCAGTTGTTGTGGGATCAAAAATGACAGTATACAACGATTCATTGGCAAATTACTAAATAAAATGTCTAAATTCTGGGACTTGGAAAACTTGAACTTCAGCAAACCGTGACTCGTTTCAGATACATGTTCTGGCTGCAACATCGTTAGGACCGTATCCACAAACATATAGACTATAAATATTCTACAATTTGCATGAGTCACCACGTGACCTAGAACACGTCGTTAGGCTATTGATTTTTTTTTTATTCATTCATGTTTTTCACTGCACTGCAGTTTTAATTGATTTCTTCTTATGTATAGGTATTTTCTCTTTTCTGTCCTTGCAGATTCTACGCTCGCACGTCATGGTTCGAGTCGGTGGTGGTTGGGACACGCTTTCACATTATTTGGATAAGCATGACCCATGTCGATGCAAGGCACAGCATCGCTCATCAGTGGCGGCAAGACTAATTACCAAAACAAACCATTTGAGCAATGGCATTGAGCTTCACAAAGCTCAGGTCGTTTATGAGAGGTAAGTAGCAGCCGGCAAGAAATTGCAAAGCCTTTCAAATTGCTCATGTGACTATTCAACCTCAAACGGTGAAATTCAATAAAAATGCTAATATTGATTAATCCTTTTAGCGGTTCTATAGTTTCTTTTTTATAATTGATTTTCGTTTCATATTTGCTCGTATTAGATCACCAACGCCGTCATGGAAGTCTAATGCTCATACCGCACAGACCGCGTCACCTAATATGGACAGCCTCGGTAGTACCTTGTCTCCACCATCCCGTGCTCGCAGTCGAAGCCGTAGTCCAAGCGCTCAGCGTAAAATTAACCATAACAATGAATCGGCGGCAACCGTAAGTGACTCACGGAGTACACAATAATTGGAATTAAATGCCAAATTGTTATTTTACAGATACACGAGAAGGGATACCTCGCTTCTCCAAATTTGACTCGCCGTTCGATGTCGCCTAGTCCTCGTCGTTTAGATATGAAGAAAAAGCAAAACTCGCTGGATTCGAGTTCAACGGTAGCACAAGCTAATAATAATACTAATAGCGGAAGTAACAGCGGCAATCAGCTGCACCAAGCAACGGTACACTTCGAGTGTGATCGGGACGGTTCTATTATAACTGATAGTAAGACTGAGTCCTCTGGGGAGGACAAAACCAACAAGTACGAAAACATCAGTGACAACGGTAGTGAAATCAGCGATGAGGGTTATCGCAGTTTGGGAATCATTCAGTCCAGTGGTACCGCATCTCAAGCACAAAAACGGGTATCATTGTACAGCCAAGCCTCGAATGAAGATGCTGAAATTAGCGGTATGTATACCTGTTCACTATGGATTTGATTTGTTATGTGCGTTCAACTTCAACTGAGTAGCATAATTTGTAATGTTGTACGTTGAAAATGTTTACTTAAATGCGATAGATGGTTAGGGGCATAGCCAGCTTTCAAATAGGGGCGGGGGCAAATATAATTAAAGGGCTAATGCTAAAAGGATTATCACAAAATACAATAGGACCGAAATAATCAATTGGTAAAATGAGTAATTGAACCGAAATTTAAATTTTATGCATTCTTCGTCATACGAGATCAGTATTTTATAAATGTTCAACTATTCTAATGTTTTAATTTGTTTATGGTTGATGTTAGTGAGTTAAAAATCAACCTCAGCCTAATTGACCATTTTGTGTCTATCGGGCAGAATTCATTACATATATCTATGAGTCAATTATGTGTTTGGTACGATACTTTAGGTCAAAAGCTAGAACACAAAGTTTATATCGAAGACCGGAATGTATGAATACCTTTTTCAAAAACAAAACCGGAAATCGTAAACCCTTTTTTCTGAAAATCAAAATCATTTCGACCGTGAACATGCATAAGGGCCTAACTACGATGATCGATTTTCTCTTTAAATTGATATAGCTAAGGGAAGCAATTTTCTGAAATTTGTTCAATACAGTGCTGTAACAGATTGTATTGGCTATCAAAAGCAACAACAAATGCACCGAAAAATGTTAATCGAAGCGAGTTATTAATAACAGAGGAAATCGACGAAGAGAATCGATCATCGCAGTTACGCCCTCATGCATGCTCACTGCCCAAGTAACCAACAAGCCCGCTAATCGCCCTTTTTGATATAAAGTTTGGAAACCCTATATTTACCTTATATCGCAAAAAGGGCGATTATCGGGTTTGTTGGTTACTTGGGCAGTGAGCATGCATGAGGGCATGTATGCAATATAAGGCTGATATACGACTGATATAAAGTTCGGAAACCCTATATTTACCTTATATCGCAAAAAGGGGGATTATCCGGCTTGGTGGTTACTTGGGTGTAGATTTGTCTATTGCTTCTTGAAGCACTCCAAGCAAATCCATTTTTCCATTACATTTTTACCTTCATCCGTATGACAAAGTGATACGGAATTGAGACACATAGGATGAATTAGGATTCAAGGAGCAGTATTAGATTTGTAATAATATCTTAACGATTTATTACTCTTTATCAAATCTAACGGTACGTACAGAAAGGTAGATAATTTTAGAATATATATATATATACAGTAGACTGATGCAAAATTTGACTTTTTCGCTCCACAGTGCTTAAATGGTTTCAAATCGGGTCCTGATTAGCCTCCAAAAGTTACAACTCATTTGGTTAGAAACAGACATCGCACAAACCATTTGAAGTTTACATGTAAATTATTATGGGAAATCTCAACTTTTTGCTCATTGCCTTCTAGTCTTTTTCCATATTGAGCTGCGAAACAGTTCGATAGCCATTCTTATAGAAAATTTTCTCAGCTACAACTTTGCTGCAAATCATTTCTATGTAAAATGAGACAGGAAAAAGTTATTAATTATTTAAGAGATTGATAAACTTATGACATGATCAAGCAGCTGCTCTGTAGGCAACACTGTATTTTGCAGTGTGACATAGTAGCCATGATTTTTGTGTCCTATTCAACGCCCCAGAAACACCAATGTTGCCTGCTGAGCAGTTGATTGAGCATGATCATAAGACATCAGCGCATTGAATCATTGATAACTTTCGATCCTTGCATTTAATGAAAAAATGGTCTTGAGCAAAGTTGTAGCTGGGAAAATTTCCTACAAGTACAGTTGAAAGTTTTTGAAGCAAACCGATATGGTGAATTATTAGATAGACATGAACAAAAATCTTGGTTTTCCCATAGTAATTCCCATACAAACTTCAAATGGTTTGTGCCATCTCAGTTTCTCATCAAATTGGTTCAAATTTTGAGAGGTTAGTCAAGATCAGATTTGGAATCGTTTAAGTATTGTGGAGCGAAAATTTCAAATTTTGCATCACTCTAATATACAGCCATTTCAAAGCAAAATGATATAGTGGTTTTCAAACTTTCGTAAAAAAAATGTAGTTTTGTTCCTTTTCGCAACATATTAGACTCGTGGGTGGTGGGACAAGATGGGTCATCTACTTGGTTTATTTGTTGTTTTTATTGTCAACAACAACAGGCTCAATGTAGCCCTAATGCTGGTTTGAAAATTAGTAAATGTACTAACTAACTCATCTTGCCCTGTTACCCATTTTGTCCCACATTCTCTAAAGATGCAATGCAGTTACAATTTTTCAAGATTCTGGGATTTCAAAATTATTCTTGGAAACTAATGAGCACCTTGAACTCTTTTTTTGTTGTTAAGGATCAGAACTTAAAAGCATTTCTTAATTCATCTAGAAAGAACCCAGTTTTTTATAATAAATTTCTTGAATTCCGGGCTTGAAACATTTAAAGATACTATAGATCAATACTTCGACTACGAAGTTATTAAGTAAATTTCACAGCAAAAAATATATTTTAATATTACATCCAAATGGATGCACTTCAATCATGTCGAAAATCTCATGTAATTTTTATGGCCACAACAATAAACAAATGCAGCAAAAGCAGCGTAATGTCAGGTCATATACTGTATTTATCATTATTTTGTCCTTTTGTCAAGTAATATTACACCATATTTTCGACACGATTTAAGTGCATCAACTTTGATGTGATATTAAAATTAATTTTTTGCTGTGTTGGAGTAGGAAAATAAATCCTGGATTTAAAAAAAATCAATGTTACAGATTTTGCAAATTCTTCTAGAATGTGAGGCATGGGGCTTTTTTAACGCTCCAGTGCACAGTGGCACAATTCTGAAAAAAAACGGTTAAAAAATTGCACCTGAATTATCATTAAGTTTATATTACACATGTAAATTTATAGTGGTAGTGGCGTAGTGGTAAACACGCCGAAGTCACGAGTTCAAATTTTATCCCGGACAAGTCACGATTGATCCAAGAGTGTTGATGAGATTATATCTTGAAAAATGTTGTAGAATAATAAATTTGGAAAATTTTCGCTGAAGTTACCAAGTTTTTAAATTTTAACCCTAAAGAATTATTTTAGAAATTCCTTTCGAATAATCTTCATAATTTCCCTTGCTTGTATTTTATTGGAATTCTAATCAAAACCGCATTATGGTAATTGAATTCTCTAAGCAATTGTGCACTTATTTTAATTTGCTACTGCAACTAAATACTGTCTGACTAGAAAAAGGATTTAGACAGCATGGATCAAATCCACGCCAAATAGCGAAAAAATAAACAAATTTCAGATTTTGTTCGTTAGGGGTAATGAACCAAGTTTGTGTTGGAATTCGGTCATTTTGATTCGCGCCTAATTTTTCAAAATGGCGCTTATATTTTTTCAATAAATCTTATCGTGAAAATGGCTCATTTAATTTATATCACGCCTGAGATAAAGTTGTAAAAAATACACGCTTAGAAATAACTAATTTTACAAGTGACAGAATCTATCTTTGACATAAAAGATGAGACGTAAACAAACATGTCATGTAAAATTAACAGCTCCCTTTTCAAAAAATAATACCCACATTTTTTGTTGAAAAATGAAAAAAAAAAAAGTTAAAACTTCAATAATTAAAAAAGTACATATTTAAGATTTTTATACTTATGGTCAATTTTAAAGTGTCCATAGTGTCGAGGGACGGCCTTGGCGTACGGAGACCTCCCTCGTCAAAGTCACAAGTTCCTTTCTCATTCCCGGACACGTCACGAATGACCCAAATGTGATAAAATGACTATTATAAAAAAAGAGAGAGAAAGAACATTATTAGATAAGAATTTAACTTTTTTTCACGCATTGTTTAAGTAATTTGTGCAAAGGAATTGATTTTCAGGACTAAAAAAATATGTTTTCTCCATAAAAAAAACAAGATCATGCTCCTCGTTTGTCATACAAGTGTATCCGTGGCATATGAATGAGCAACAAGCATTCTAATGTCGGTTTGATGACCCATTTGACTTCTTCGGCCTTATTTCGTAGGTCATAATGGCGTTCGGCCTAATCACCCGCAAACATGTTTTGCCTTCCTCTATTTTGAAAGCAGGGGCACCCTTGGTATTCACAAAATCAGAACATTTTATTTTTGTCGACGCATTGGTACTTGCAGGACCTTCTGCAGGGACTTTATAGTTACAGTTTTGACGTCCAACATACTTTTGTGATACGGTCTGTAACCGGTACTAGAACGATCATCATTGCTTTCAAGTGTTGTTCATTAACCAGGTAATGTAACATGCAATTTTACTAATATGTATTCCCTACTTTTTTCTAGCGCATCTCGAACAAATAACCCCGGACTCGCAGGTAACACCAACTGACGATAGTAGCTCTAAGGCAAACGATGAAGATCTTACTACTATCTCTGATGAAGTAACAGCCAAATCCGACGACGCTGACAAGGTCGCGGAATTGCAGGATAATGTAGATTCCGGAGAAACTCCGGAGTCACATTTTGCAAAATCAGGTGTCTTCATTACGGATGATGAGATCACGATCGACATTGCTGGTAGTACAGGTCTGAGAAAGACTGGATTTTCAGAAAATTTATATGATCCAAATAACCCTGTTATGTCTAAGACTCAACCGGCTTCCAAAATTCCCAAGTCGCCTTTACCGTCGAGACGCAAAAGTGCCGAAGGTTCCACGACGGCTTCTAGTGACAAAGCATCTTCTTTGAATAGGAAAATTCCAACCTATCGTTCTGTTCGCAAAGTTAACCCCTCACCCGACCAAAAAGACAATACTTGGAGTGGCAGGACCACCAAGCAAAGAACGCCTCTAGCAGCAGATACGTTTGATACCAAAGTAAATTCCCCACAGGCAACGCTATCCCGTAACTCTCCAGCAAGAACTTCACAGTATGATAAGAATGGTAGAAAAATCAAACCAGTCAGCAGTTCGGTCAACACGTCTCCAATCAAAAACGGACAGGCTTCGGTTTTGGCGCAGCAGCTAATAGAAGCAGCAGCAGGGGCCCAGAATGACACTCAAATTATAGAAAAAGTGAAACAGTTGCTCTCTAAATATTCCTCCAGTCAACAACAATCCGTGACACCGGGTGGCAGTGAGTTTGATGATTTCACCACTGCATGGGTTAACAACAACGGAATAGTCGATCGCAACATGAGCAATTCCCCCAAGACACAGTCTAAGCGAAGCTCAACTGTATCTACCACTTCGGAAGGGGCAAATTGCAAAGAAATTCCATCAGTCATGTCACCTCGACGAGATAAGGGTATGTCGAAGATTCCAGCGCCCGTTCGGTCCAACACCGGGCTGTACTGACACCGACGCAATCAGTCATTGAATAGTTTCGGTGCTAAGCAATGATTGCATTGTTTGGAACCGCAAATGTAGTTCTAAGGTAAGTACTTGGTCGTACCTCTGATGCAATTGATTTGGTTTGTTGAAATATTTGTTTCATACATGAACAAGAAAACAAGATACTTCATAATAATTAACTACCTACCTGAAGTAAACGTTCTATTTTTCGTTGCTCTGAAATTCGAACACGAAGATGTGAATTTATCGCGCTTACATTCTTCAAAAGGCAATTCAACCTGACTGGAAAGGTCATCATGCTGAATTTGCGTCAATCATTATTAATTAGTTGATGATATTCTTGGGGTGTAGGTAGGGTTAACTACCCCATTTACGGCCTATTAAACACAACCCGCACTAACTCTTTCTTAATCTAGCGCAGTTTAGCACCAAACGGAATGTTATTATTACTGATGGCTTTCAAATTTATTTACCTTTCCGATTTGATAAAGAGAAACCAATCGTTGAGATATTGTCAAAAGTCTAACGCTGCTTCTTGACGCCAAACTCGGCCTACGGATTCTAAATTCGGCCTAACGCATTTAAACGCAATTGAAACGCCAATGAATTCACTTCGGCCTATCGGATGAAGAAAAAAATTGATTCGGTCGGAGCGCTTCTTTTGTTTTTGGGAATAATGAGTGCAAACCTTCATATCACGCGTTCTCATTGACTTCGTTCGGTAGCTTATTAACTAAAGTATCGTACCAAACGCATAATTTACTTGTTGACTCTGAAATCATGGATTTATTTGAAGTTTTCTGCTGGATAGGCCTAAAATCGGCGATTAGGCCGAAGTCTACCCTACCTGCTCTTTAATTCATTCTCCGTTTGCGGGCATCTGCTTACGTGTTTCATTTTAAGCTATTGGTTCGATTGTTTGCCATATAAATAGATGTGTCGATCTCATTTAGAAATACCGTAAATCCGAGTATAGATTAAATGGAATCTATTATTCGAATGATCCCTTTTCACGATCTCAGTTTGACGCTCAAATTGTTTCAATGTTCAAACAAGGCATGGATCAACGTCTTATTTGTTGATCTATGCATGTACGGAACTCGTGGAATTAATTAATGGACAACAAAAGCATGACAAGCAAATAAGTGTGCATTGGATTAGCGGACCGTGGTCAGATTCCCAAAGATTCCCATTTTTTCCCCATACATTTTAGTGGTGACATCCCTACTGTAAAAATGTACATTTACCACCTCTTGCCATAGAGTATCATTGAGCTTGCCACGCAATATACAATTTCATGCAAAGGTTGACATAGTAAGCGCTCACTTTATAACTGTTCAACACAACACTAAGTTGAAAGCTAGCATAGACTCGTGTAACCGCATCACAAGCAAGGATGAAGAAGGCCTAACTTCTCTGCCTGTCCGTGATCTGCCTAACTTTCTTTCCACCACTTAAATACCTACTAACTTTTGCTGGTCCGACGTCCTTCAATATTTTATCTTCTGTACAATGTTGCGTCAACTAACTCGGTTCGTGGCTGCTTATCTCCAGTTTCATGAGCGCCCTACACTTCGCCAGTTCGTTTTTAATTCTTCTCCTCCATATGCCTTTTTCATATACCTCATGGCGATTGAAAACTACCAATCTTATCAGCGTCTTGTACATGGTACATTTAATACGGGGGCGAAATTTACCTCACCTCAAGGTCTTGTGGAGTCCGAGTAAGCACGACTTCCGCCAATAATGCGTTTCTCTGAATTTATCTGTTGCAGTTGTGATGTCTCCAATGATGCGAGGTACAAAAATTCATACATTCCTTCGATTATCACACTTCTATGCGAGCTGCATCGCGCTTGCTCCCTCGGTCTTCGACGTATTCACCTTTAATCCAACCTACCACGTTCTCACAACAATGTCCACGTTTTCGGGGATGCAAATTAATGTCCGCAGGTGCTTAGGTACTTGATATTCTCGACACTTTTGGAGTATTTGAAGCAACGTAAAGATTTCGTCTGTTGTTGATCGCTCGCCCACAAACCTTAACCAGCTTGATAAGTTCCCACCAATCTGCTTGTTGACGCTAAAGACGGCGAAAGGTGATCTAAGAAAGTTATATAGTGTATTACTAACAACTGTATGCTATTGCATATTACCAATTGATTTAGCATGGATAATTTTCAACGGAGACTGCCACGTGAAAGAAGAAATTGCGAAAAACAGCAAAACCGAAAATCGTGACTTCAAAAAAAAACAAAAGAGTGAACTGTATTGTTAATACAGTATAGGTATTTGGTGTAAACATATTCTCTATACACCTATACAAATTATTATTATTATACTACGTATACGTATAGAACGAGAGTTAAAGTGATGTTCGCTTGTGGGGTTTCCCAGTTTTCAACTGTAGCGACAATAGTTTATGCATTGCTTGTTTCAGATTACTGTTCACCCGTAAACTCAAGTGTTTAGATTTAGAAATATACCTTTAACACTCTAACATATGGTTGTTTATTTCGCAGGTTCCAAAACTCTCTATGGGAAACACAACAATGATGTTATACTAATGTGCTGCTGTTTCTTTATTGAGTTGCCGCCATATGCACTTAGAAGTTGCGTCGCGATATATGTATCATTTAGCAGTGTAATACTATGGAAAGAGTCCCAAATAAAAAAATCCGCTGTTCCATTTTAGTCGCAAAAAGTCGAATCAGTCAGTGTTATGCTTTTCAATTTCACAACTGAGTTTAAGCAACAAACTTGTAAGCTCCATTAAAACTTTTTAGAAATCCTCGAAAAGCATTCCCATGAGCTAGACTCTAAATCCAGTACTATCATTAAAGCGGTGCTTTTTTACTGTTTGTTTAGAGAAATTTATTCCGTTATGAATATCAACAATTACGTTTGCAATAAGATAAAAAAAAAATGAAACATAGTTGATTTTAACGAAAAGAAGAAAGACATCTGTACAGTAGTAGGAGACGATAATGTTTTAATGAGTTTTCCTGATATTATCATAAGAAAAAACGACTAACTTTTTACACTTTACTCGCTAACATTTGTCCTCTTTGTAGTTAGAATAGGATAACAAGCAATTAAATACAAATCTAATGGTTAGATACGAACGTGCAACTAAACAAAGACACGGAACTTGGTTCGTCCGTAATCAGTGAAAATCATCAATAGTGCAATCTAAACGCATAACAAAACGCCATATATAGTCCCAAAATATTTACAATAATGAATACACAGCATAGTACGTTTGAATACTGACGATCAATATAATGGTAAGTTACGACGGAACATTTGGAAAAGCTTGGAAAATAGAAACAGCTGTTGAATATCGGTAGAAAAGAATTACATTCGTTCCCATTTTCTGTAGAATTAATACAATTATGTACTTTTTCTACTGGAAGTGGAGGGCACATAAGAACGAATATAAGTTTGTTTTAATTGAGTTTCAAGTGTTGTTTCCACTCACCAAGCATACCTCCGCTGTTCCTTCATTCGACTTTGAGTCAAGCATGAGTTGCAAATATAAGCCCACATTTAATCAATGTATTTTAACAAGAAAATATAGTTCAGACTGCCAATTTCTTGTATATATTAGTGAAAGAAATTCCCAGCATTTAAATCTTAGTATATTTTTAGCTATTACCCAATCAATATATATTTTATAAAACCAGAGTTACTTCCATTCATTCCGCATTTTTGTTAGTGGGATTATGGAATCATAAAATATTATGGTGATATTTTGTAATTGTAAGTTACAAGAAGAGTTTATGTTTGACACATAAAACTTATCAATTTCGTTCTATAAGACTCGCAATAGGTATATAAATGATCAGAGAATCACGGATTGTGACCCTCTAAAAAAAATTGGCAGGTTTTATGTGCACAACACATTCCTTACAACCTCTTATAAATAAGTAAATAAAACGGACGTGAGATTTATTAGAGTATTAAAAACTCTAGAACCTATTTACTAACAAATACAAAATATTATTATAACATATTATGATTCCATAATACCATAACACATTTTTCTGCAAACGAATGGGAGTAACCCTGTATGAAACTATGGGATCCTGTCCAATTCACGTCGGTAAATCTAAAATATCCACTGAAAGGGTTAACAACTCTAACTTCACAGTTTCAAATAATTTTTTTAGTGTTTTTGCAAAAATTCGCAACTTTGACGCCTAACCAATGATTCTAGGAATATCAGACCAACTCAGAGATAAGAATAAGCAATTCAAGAATAATTCAATTATTGTCACTAAGGGTTATGCATATATTATGTCACGCTCTAGGGGGGGATGGGGGGGGGGCAATGCACAAGCAATGCATTAGGTATAGGAAAAACGTCACGATAGGGGGGGAGGGGGTAATTTTTTGCTCGATCTAGCGTGACATAATTAATGCATGGGCCCGAACTACAGTACCCGCACCTTTAGTCGCTATATATATAGCGACTATACCCGCACCGACTAACCGACATGACAGCTCATACAAACTACATTCAAATTCTTGTTCAAGACGCCACATTTAAAATACTTTAAACACTACCGCCACAGACAAACAGACATAACTCTTCATTCTGGATCATTGTTTGCGCATTTAACGGTTTGAATGTTATCGTTTCCGTGAACTACTCGCCGCAGCGCTGGCATCGGATCACTTTGACGTTACTATATATTCGGTTTTTCTTGCATGCAACATTGTTTTCGAATCAGCGAGCAAGCTTGTTTTCCGCGAGAAGCCTTCGAGATGTCGTTACTGCAGTCCTATGTTTGGCGGTACTATGTTTTGAAGATAATTTTATTCAAAGAGTTATTCTGTTTATCTGTTCTACCGCCATCTACTCATTCGCCGGCGCCGATGGTGTAGTGGTAAGCGTGACTACTTTCTCACCCCAATGGGTCTGGGTTCAATCCCAGCCGAGGTCGGTGGGATTTTTCTGAGGCATGATAATCTCTGGTCACGTCTTCCTTCGGAAGGGTTGGTCCCGGCCCATGTGTGTTTGAATGGGTGCGATATCCTACGCAGCTGCCTTCCTGCACATTCGATTGCCGTCAATGGATGGCAATCGATGTCCGTCGGTGATTGGCACTAGATTGCGGAACAGAGACCGACGTTAAATAAAGGAAAGAAGAAGATCTACTCATTCGATCGCGTCATATAATGAGCAAGGCTGTTTGTGACACGTAGACTCACCTCATTTGGAAGATCTGATCATCCATTTGAAAGTTCGCATCGCTCCTTTGACAAAACTAATTGACCACTTTGTCAAACAGTTGTGGCGTGACTTTCTACCATCGATTCCACAAAACTGGAAGTGGTAGTACACACAAAAAATTATCGTTAGTAAAATTGAAAAAAAAAACATTGGTAGAATCAAAAGTTTTCGTTGGTTCTTTTTGGTAGAAAGTCTTTAGCTTTCAAAACAAAAGTCAGCTAACTGTCAATCCCTATACAAAAGTAACACGTTTTTTACTTTTGAAAGTTGAAACTTTCTAATCGAATTGTAGAACTGTCAAATTAAAAACCTATTTTGTTAAATAGACTCATGAAAGGATTTAATTTCAAAGATGGGCATTTTTATCGCAATGACTTATGTTTTCATCTCAAATATGAATTCTTTTTAATTCAATTGCATTTTGCTTTGAAAAAAAATGAACCATGGTAATATTTAATTTAATATATTTTAGTTTATTTATATTTATTGACTGAAAGGGCACGGCATTATAGAACTTGAAACATGAGAAGCGTTTTACTCAAATGATACAGTTGACTCGACAGTTGGTGATGGTGATGGTGGAAGTAGCCTTCCTTTTCGACAAGTAGGAAAATCGGAAGCAATCAAACTCTTCGAAAATTGCATTAACTTACCTCCAAATCCCACTGCTGGAGTATCCTACCAATCCTTCCACCTCATAGCGTCACCGCGGATGTCTCCATTTTATTATTCGTATCTTGCAGAAGAGAAAGATGGATGAAAATGTGGGAAAGTTCAAGAAACAGCTGCTTTCGTTTTGTTTGTTCGTTTCGCATGTCCGATTTGGCGGGAAACACAGGTCCAGTACTTTAAAAAATTTCGCAATGAAGAGATTTTTTGACAATTTTACAACTTTTATTCTAAAAAATAGACTTTTAAAATTACAAGCCGAAAGTGAAAAAAACACTTTTAAATCAAAAAATAAGTTTAATTTTGAAAATTTTCATAGTTGAAACTACGAAATGTGGGAAACTTTTAATTTGAGTATGCATTATTTTTATAGCAACAATTTTTGTTCTTTGTGTGTAAACGTCATTTTAAGTGCTCGAATGAAGGGGTTAATTAACCACTTCATTCGAGCAGTTAAAATGACGATTACTACTACTCGAACTTTGAAATAAAACATTATTTTCAATTTATTTCTTCTAGAACCACGAGAAAAGTAGCCAACATATGTGAGTTTCATAAAAAATAGAAATTAGTTGGTCACTACTTGACTAGCCTATTGGTCCCAAGTAAATCGTTTAACGTGTTCCATCCTAGTATAAATTCCTGTACTATACACTATGTTTGTTTTGATTCGCTATTCATATTCAACTTTCAAGTTTGACAGATAAAATGAGGGGTTCATGGATTTTCCTATGTTTCGAGGGGTGCATCGATTAGCTTGGGACCGAAGAGAGTATCAGAGCTGAGCCAAAAAGTTGAGCACGTTTCTTCGGGACCTTCTGGTCTTAGAGTTACCTCTATGGTAATTGTAGTGTATAGGGATACCACCTTACGGTCGATTTCACTAACACTAGTATATAAGTTACCGTGTAGGATGCTTATGAGAAATAAAGATTCATTCCGTTCTTGCCTCTTGAATCTTGGGATGAGGTTCCAGTGAAATGAAAGGCCAAGAGTTTTATGTAAAACAGTAAATTAAATTTATTCTCTTTAACGATGCGCTTACAACGAGTACACTTTCTTGATTGAATAAAATGCACCGAAAATAGCTTTCATGTAGCTTCCATTGGAAACGCAAATGATTTTCATCCATAAACAAAATTAATATAATTCATCTGAATTTCACATAACATTTCCCTAATAAAAAATAACCATAGTCAAACGATAACCCAAATCATTCAACTATTCCACAAGTGGTTTGGATGATACCCAGAACACGTCGTTAAGCAAATTAACCATACAATTTTTATTAGGGTTATGCGATCACGTTAGTTTTATATGATTTTTCATATGAATTTCATCGGCCTCATAATATTCATGTGATTTTGTGGTGGGATTTCTAGCTATGTGATAACATGAAAGCTATGTGAAATTCACATGGTTTTCATCCATTAGATATGTGATAAATTTTTTGAGTGTGGCGCTCAGTGGCTGGTAGACAGCTATAGACTGGTACACATATTACACTGGTACGTTATTAGGACGATCGTTGCACCTTTAACACTCCTCCTCAACGAACAACGTTCTGCTCACGATGATAGACCTAGCATTCCAGCCAGCTTGTGATGCTTGATGGTACCCAATGGCTTAGTCAAAATATCAGCCACCATATTTCCCGTTGAACAGTACTCTAGATCCAGCACCTTGTCTTCGAACAACTGCTTTACGTAGTATTGCCTTGTTTCGATATGCTTGAATCGACGAGTAGACCTTTCTGCACCGACAAACTTGATACAACTTTGGTTGTCCTCACGAATAGTTACCGGACCACCTTGTTGCACACCAAGATCTTTAAACAGACTCAGCAACCATACCAGCTCCTGGCTTGCTTCACTCAGTGACACATATTCCGACTCCATTAATGAAAGTGTGACACAATTCTGTCTTCGGCTAACCCAAGAAACTGCTCCGCCGGCATAATGGAACGCGAAACCAGTTCGGAAGCATCGGAATGGCCAATTAGACCCTCATCGGTATTAAAATTCAACCTCCAGTCCTTCGTAGTTTGCAGGTAAAGGACCACTCTTTTGGCCGCCACCCAGCCCGCTTCTGTTCGCGCACTCACCTTTCGGCCAAGTATCGCAACGCATGCCGCAACATCCGGTCTTGCGCACACCGCTATATAAAGAAGCGCGCCGACCAAACTTCTGTACATCGTAGCATCCGGTAATAACGAACTTGTTTCATCCTTCCTTATGTAACCGGTTTCCACTGGCGATTTGGCTCCCTTCGCATTTTGAAGGCCAAATTTCTCCACAACTCGCTCGATATAACCCTTGAGCGAACAACATAACTTCCCATTTTCATGTCCAATCTCCAGACCCAGGAAATAATTCACTTCGCCAAGGTTGGTAATCTCGAACTGTTTCTTCAGTGCTTTGTACACTAACTTAATCTGGAATTCATCTTCGCAGCCAACCATTATGTCATCTACATACACTAGCAGACACACCCATTTGCCGTTGACTACTTTTGTGTATAAACAGGGATCAGTTGCACTTGGACGAAAGACCATTTCCTGTAGAACACTATCCAGTCGTTGATTCCAGCATCTGGCCGACTGCTTGAGGCTATAAATGCTTTTCTTCAACAAACACACCTTGTGCTCCTTTCCCGCCACCTCGTATCCAGGCGGCTGCTACATGAACAAGTTTGCCATATAAGTAAGCGTCAAAATGTTTCAATGTCATTTTCCTGCTACTCGCCAAAGCTAGAAGAGCTCGCAGAGTCGTGTACCTGTTTACTGGAGCAAATACTTCATCAAAATCTTCACTTCTTCTGGAAGTATCCCTGAGCCACAAGACGAGCCTTGTATATCGTCACCTCAATAGCTGCATTTTTCTTCGCTTTGAAGACCCAACGGTGTCCTACCGCTTTCCGATCGGTTGGCAAATCAACAAGTTCCCACGTATCGTTGTCCGAATGTGACTTCAATTCGTCCAACATAGCTGCTCTCCATTCCTTCTTCTTTCCACAGGTAAGGGCTTCGTGCAAGTTCCTGGGTTCGGACTCCTTCTCAAGAACGCTTTCAACAACGAAAATTTCCTTTATCAACCTACATGGTGGTTTTCCCTTCGTAGACAGCATCGAAAAACGCGCTACTTCATCCAATGGAAAACCGTGGAATGAACGATCACCTTCAGAAGCACTATCGTACCGAGAATCATTGACGTCATCAGGCTCCGCATCAGACTCAAATTCCTAACCCGGTGCTTCAACCAGCTGCTCCTCCTCTTTCGAGGGCAATGCTAACGGAACTTCAACCACTCCTGTCACTGTAACTACAGGTTCCCGATGGACAGCCTCCTTATCCAGCTTCACGTTCATTCGACCACCTTTTCCATTCACAGAAACAAGCCGCCCAGAACCAACACCAACCGACATGATTGATTTACCATCGGCCAGACTAATGGTCGTCACTTTCGAATCATCCAGCTCTTCCAGAATGTCAGAGTTGTTCATCATGTGGGAAGTGGCACCTGAGTCAAGGTACCACACACCAGCTTCTCCAGCTACTCCAGCCCTCCAGACTCCGATTTAACAGCGATATTTGCTTGCTGAGAATTCTCCTTCTGCGCACGATCCTGTGCCATCTTTCGACAATCACGCTGGAAGTGCCCCTCCTTCTTGCAAAAATGGCATACTTTCTCTTTCTTCACTAATTGCTTGACCGCAGGTTTCTTCTTCCAGGAAATGGTCACTAGCGCTAAGTGAAGCGTTCTCCACACCTTCGTCCAGCAACTTTCCCTTCACAAAATCGACCGTCAGATTCGCATCTGGTCGACTTTCGAGCGCCATTATCAATCCGTCGTATGATTCCGGGAGACTGGACAGCATCAAATCCACGAACCAGTGGTCCTTCACTTCCTCTCCCAGCGCAGACAAACGAATGCGCAACGCGGTCATCTGCTTAAGGTGTTCCGCCATTTCACCGTTATCTGGCATCCGCATCGTAATTAGCTGACGCACATCATGAATTATGCTCGAAAGGGAGGAACACTCGTGGTATTCCTTAAGCACATCCCACATCCCTTTTGCGGTCGTCTTCTGCATCACGTGAATCAGCTGACTGTCTTCCAGTGCCAAACCGATCAACGCCTGCGCCTTACCATCTTTAATGACCCAGGCCACATCAGCGTTTTCTGGCTTCGATTTTGTCACAACATCCAACACACTTCCACGCGTCAACAGAAGCCGCCTATTAATGGCAAACAAAAGCACGCGCGAGAAATTTAATGGTTTGTTGAGAGAGTATGATTGCCTTTTTTCGGATAAGTTAGGAAAGAATAATGGGATGAAAATCGAAGTGGCATTAGACGAAAATACCAAACCGATATTTTGCAAACCCAGACCGGTTCCGCTTAATTTCGAGAAGGCAGTTGAAGAGGAGCTAAACGTGGCTGAAGCAAAAGGGATTATCTCGAAGTGCGATTCATCCGACTGGGGAACGCCGGTTGTGCCAGTGTAAAAAAATGATGGAAAATCTATAAGGCTGTGTGGTGACTATAAGATCACAGTGAACAGGGGTTCGTTAAAGATGTTCGTCATCCCTTGCCTCGTATTGAGGAGGTGATGGGGAAGTCATTCTCTAAAACGCTGTACAGACTGGAGAGTTATAACACAAACGAAGTGACAGACGACTTACTGGCGAAGAAATCAATTAAAATAATGTGGTTCGCTGTAATAGAATTTTCTTAGAAGCTTCCCTAATAAAAAATAACCATAAACGAACGATAACCCAAATCATTGAACTATTCCATAAATGGTTTGGATGATACCCAGAACACGTCGTTAAGCAAATTAACCATACAATTTTTATTAGGGTTGTGCCATCATCCACCAGATGGGATAGTATTTTTGTTTTGGTTTTGCACGAAGTTGATTTTGTGTACAATGATTCTTTGACAGTGTGCAAAGAGTGTATATCATTTTGTCATTTTTTTATGCATTCCAGTTTTGAGTAGAGTGAAAGAGATAGAACCAAAACATTCTAGTATATTTGGTGAAAATACTAGTTCAGTCCAGTTGTAGTGTTGCTATGTGGTACACTGAAAAATTGCAATAGCAGGTTAGTCACCAAAGTTTTCGAGCCGCTCCGTCTGTCACTTCGTTTGTGGTTATAACATGTTATAACGGTTGTCAAATAATTGCAACACAGAAACCACCATCAAGATAGCGCTATAACATGTTATTAGCACACAGGGTTAACCATGAAGATCGCCCGATAGCTTTCGCATCTAGGTTGTTGAGTCCAAGGTTGAGTCCAACTGAACGGAATTACAGTGTCCTGCATAAGGAAGGCTTGGCTATTGTGTACGGGTTGAATAAGTTCTGTAGCATATTACGCCTCTAGGTGCCCAGTTGAGTCATGGGAATCGTGGAAGGAAGATGGTAATTATCTAAACTTCATAACCTTGGAAGCGTCTCAAATTTTGGATCAAGACTCTCTTAGAAAGGCTACTTAGGGCGATCATGTGCTTAAATCAGTGAGTCATTGCGTGCTTCAGGGTCGGAAGCGAGCGGGACGACTCTATCTATGATGCAGGAATTATTGTGTTTTGCTGTGGCTGGGTAGATAGAAAGAAGATTTATCACGATTTTGAAGATTTCCTGCAAAAAGATGATGCGCGATGCAAGTAGATGCGAGAAATAAAAGAAGATTTTTCAAAGATTTATTGGCTAGTGTGAGATTTTTTGAGCATCTAGAATTGAGATTTAGATGTGTCGCCCCCCTCGGTCGGAAGAGAGATCTCATAGGATATGAGTTTTCGGACTATTTGAAGGTTTTTAACGAGTTATCGGTTGAAAGTGGTATTTTGATGAGAGGATTCAGAGTGGTTGTTTCTTCTTCGATACGACCCAAAGTACTGAAAGAACTTCACGATGCGCATTTGGGCATGGTGAAATTGAAAAGTCTAGCCAGAGGATACGTATGGTGGCCAGGACTTGATAAGGCTATCGAAAATTAAGCACAAGAGTGCCACTATTGTTTGAGTGAACAGTCTTCTCCAGAGTTGTCTAAGTTGGTTTCATGGTCCTTATCGGAACGTCGTTGGTCAAGGATTCATGTGGATTATGCTGGCCCAATAAAGGGTGTTTGGTATTTGATAATTGTAGATGCACTGACTAAGTGGTCAGAGGTATTTCCAACTACCTCCATCACAGCTACTTTCACGATTGAGCGATTGATGGAATGTTTGGCACGTTTTGGGTTGGTCGACATGGTTGTTACCGATAATGGCACACAGTTCACGGCGGAAAAGTTTCAATCGTTTTTGAAAGCCAATGGAATTAAACACTGCCTAACGGCCCCAGGACATCCAGCCACAAACGGCGTAGCAGAAAACTTTGTGAAAACCTTCAAAGCGTCGTTGAAAAAGGCACTGTTGGAAAATCGTACAAAAAATTATTATGAAATTTCGAGTAACTTCCTAATTGCATACCGTAGGGCAGCGCATTGTTCCTCTAAGGTTTCACCGGCGGTCGCCATGCTGGGTCGAGAATTAGTTATCAATTTCGATAGATTGATTCCTCGTAAGAAGCAGGCTTGTACCGTAGACGTCCTCAAGCATAATCTGCTCCAGGCTCAATCAAAGCAACGGGAATATCACAAGGGTAAGAGAATGCAGGAGTTAAGAGAATTCAGAAGTTTCAGCTTGGAGATAAAGTGCTCGTCAGAGACCACACCGATCCTAACCGAGCGGGATGGATAAGAGCGGTGGTGGAGAAGGTTGTAGGGGAAAAAACTACCTTGTCCTTGACCTGGTCAAAAATCAACGAAAAATTAAGAGACATCTATATCAGATGGTTTCTGATACCACTTGTGTTCAAAAATCGTTGAATACTAAGAATGAAGAACATGGTTGCAAATGAAGGAGCTCAGGTGAAGGCTTTGGTGAACACTCCGCAAAAATTCTCCTGGCAGATCCAAAAGGTATAAATGGTGGTGAACTGCCGGGGTTGAATCTTGAGCCAAGTACTTCTACGGGTGCAAGTAACAGAGCGGAAGGAGAAGCTTCGCGTTTTAGGGGTGGTGGGGAGGGAACGTTGTGGGATTACATGAGGGATGGGCAGTAAGGGGTGAGAAACGAAGGATTCAAGAAGCTTTTCCGGCTCAGGAAAAGGATGTCATTCATGAAGGAGGGACGAGAAGGGTTTTTTTGAGGTTGAATTGGAAACACTCCCAGCTGGTATTACTCGAAGGACTTCAGAAAAACTAAAGCTAAAATTGAAAGGTTGATAAGCGCTGTTTGTTTAAATCTGTATTTATTTAATCTTTTACAGAATATTCACTATAAGGCGGGATTCATCAAGGCCGTGGTATTTAGTTGTAAGTTTTGTTATTGACGGCTAGCTCAGTATAATGGGTTTCTTTTCAGGGTCGGCTACATTCACTTGCTTCGGGAGGACATCACACATACAACCAATCAACACGAGAATGATAGGCGGAACAATACAGGACACCAAGACAGTGTCTCAAGGGGGAAGGCACAAACACAGAAAATAAGCTTATTCATAATATAATTGTGGATTTAAGAGATACATGAAAAGCGGGGGGGGGGGGTGTCGTTGCGGTGGAACAGGATACGGTGGGGCCCATGCGTAGAGGGAGAGAGAGAAAGGGATTTTGTAGCTTGGTTACCTCTGATGATAGGACGGTCAGCTACTCCACGCATCTTTCTCTCTCTCTCTCTCTCTCTCTCTCTCTCTCTCTCTCTCTCTCTCTCTCTCTCTCTCTCTCTCTCTGATTCTTTGACAGTTTGCAAAAATGGTGTGTCATTTTGTCATCTTTTTATGCATTACAGTTTTGAGTAGAGTGAAACAGATAGAAACAAAACATTCTAACACATTTGTTGAAAATGCTACTACAATCCAGTAGCAGTGTTGCCATGTGGTACAATCCAGTAGCAGAAGTGTTGCCATGTGGTACACTGAAAAATTGAAATAGCACCACAGTTTTCGAGCCGCTCCGTCTGTCACTTCGTTTGTGCTTTGCACACTGTCAAACATCATATTGCACACAAAATCAACTATGTTCAAATCAAAACAAAAATACTAGTCAATCTGGTGGCTGATGGCACAAGCTTCTAAGAAAATTCTTTCAATCATTGTACACAAAATCAACTTTGTGCAAAACCAAAACAAAAATACTATCCCATCTGGTGGATGATGGCACAAGCTTCTAAGAAAATTCTATTACAGCGAACCACATTATTTTAATTGATTTCTTCGCCAGTTAGTCGTCTGTCACTTCGTTTGTGCTACTACTGGATTGTACCACATGGCAACACTACTATTGGATTGAACTAGCATTTTCTAGAATATTTTGGTTCTATCTCTTTCACTCTACTCAAAACTGAAATGCATAAAAAAATGACAAAATGATACGCACTCTTTGCACACTGTCAAAGAATCATTGTACACAAAATTAACTTTGTTCAAATCAAAACAAAAAAACTAACCCATCTGGTGGATGATGGCACAACCTCCAAGAAAATTCTATTACAGTGAACCACATTATTTAAATGGATTTCTTCGCCAGTTAGTCGTCTGTCACTTCGTTTGTGGTGCAAAGAGTGTACACGGAACCGAAAAATTACCCAAAATTAAGTTCTTTTCACTCATCTCCCATGTCCGTTCAATAAGCTTATTTTCAGTAAACCGCTTTTAGTATAGTTTGCATTTGACTACGGCACAAATAATTACTTACTCGTGTGTATTTTCTACCCAAAATTAAGTTCAATTGACTCAAATTTTAGAATATCTCATATACTCACTAGTAGTTTATTGAACGATAGTTCCTGGCACGTCGGTAGCATTGGTGCTCAGCACGGAAAACAAGATCGACGGAAAAAACAAACCAAAGGAAAAAAAATGTGGTACAATCCATTAGTACACGGAACCGAATTTTGTTCATTTAAATCAAAAATATAAATGTTCATTCTATAAACATATGAATAATTCAAAATAAATTAAAAACATGTTTGCAACAAAAATATATATGTTTGAATTAAAGTCAAAAGCATGTTTATTTCAACAATATAAAATTTGGGTAAACGATTTTTAGCGTGCCCTGCCTTTTTTTTCTTCTTGTTTACATTCGGAAAAAAATGCCCCAATCAACTGAAAACGGCCCGCAACAAAACCGAAGTCATGGATTCGGAAACCCACCTAGGTAAGTGTCTTAACAAAGTTCCAACTCGATAAAACCGGAGGAACCCCAGCGGTATCGACGTCACTCTGTCGCTTCTGATGCCGATCCTGTATCATCCTCCTCCACAACTGACGTCGAAAGAAAAACCGAAAATCCGAAATAGATTTTGAATCTATTCCGGATCCTCCAGCCCCCCCCCCCCTCCACGAACACCGAACGTAGAAAGAGGCCGGCATGAGGACCAGCGTTAGAAACGACGAAACGACGCCAATATCACACAGTTTCACTGGTTTTACTGAACTGAAACTTCCGGACACTCACCCCAACGGGTCCCCGCATCTTGGACCAGGACCCAACATCCACAGCTTACCCTTAATCGCACCCGAAAAAGAGCAGGAGCTTAGATGCCTTGTCTGCAGATCGTTTGTTCATCTCTTTGCAATCCATTTTTTTGCTTTATCCTGCTAATATAATTTAAAATTAAGTATGTTTCTTTCAAACATAAGAAGCATGTTTAAAATAAACATATTTATTTTTGTTCACATACTTGTCAAACCAAACAAAAATATTCACGTTTATTTTCAAAACGAATATTTTTAAAATAAACGTAACATTATTTTTGTTTTAAACATTAATATCACGTGACTTCAAACATGGAATACGTTTGAAATAACCTTGTTTATTTTTGTGGCCAGAACAAACTGAGTTTACGTTTAAATTTACCTCAAATATTTTTGTTTCAACGATAAATTTTTCTGCGTGTAGTGTTGCCAATGTGTATCCCGGATGGGTAAACTATCCCACAAATGGTTTGGATGATACCCCGAACACGTCGTTAAGCTCTCTTTTATGGTTATTTTTATTAGGGCTGGTTGCAGCAGTTTGGATGTAATTGGCAAATCAAAGTTGGCACTCGTGGAGAATAGAAGAACTATGAGAATGATGATGGTTTCAATATTTTCCACGGGGAGGTATACGAGTGCAATCTTAAAATGCTTTTATTTCGCAAATGGAGCGTTTTATTTAAATCTGGTTGCTGCTACAGTTGTAGAAAAACTGAAATCTATGTATACACATACAAATCGGAAAAGAAATTATTTTTTCTATATTATATGTCTATTGAGTAGTCCTTAAGTTTTCTACTAACGTACCACTTACCAGATTTAAATAAAATGCTCCATTTGCCAAATACAAGCATTTTAAGATTGTACCCGTACCTCACCGTGTAAAATTTTGAAACCATCATCACTTTCATAGTTCTTCTATTCTCCACGAGTGCCAACTTTGATTTGCAAATATGTTCAACAACCTTTTTCTCTGTGTAAACGGTAAGAAAAAAGTACCCAACGGAAAGTTCACTTTTACCTACTTTTGACTAGTTTGTCTCCTTTTCTCCTTCTAATGTTGTCAAAACCGGAGGAGCAAAACCACCCAACAGGGGTAGTAAAGTGTGGGAACCCAACGTTGAGTATAATCATATATACCTACTGTTGGGTACAACTAACTTACTTTTGGTTAAAAAGACAGTCAAAAATTCCATACGAACTGCACACAAGTAAATGAAAATTACTTTGACCCGCTTTACCTACTTTTGGGTTCCTGCTCTATAGTCACCGACAAACCGACATGAATGACCATACAAAGAAATATCGAAATTCTGATCAAAGCACAAAACTGACATCTGCCACCGTGTTCGCGAAAAATGTGTATCCTAGCCACGAACACGCATGCAGAATGTATGAGTTGGTTTGTGTCAAATCTATTCCGGTCTAATTGGCAAATCAAAGTTGGCACTCGTGGAGAATAGAAGAACTATGAAAGTGATGATGGTTTCAAAATTTTCCACGGGGAAGTATACAAATGCAATTTTAAAATGCTTTTATTTTGCAAATGGAGCATTTTATTTAATTCTGGTTGCTGCTACCGTTGTAGAAAAGCTGAAATCTATGTCTACACCTAAAAATCTGAAAAGAAATTATTTTTTTCTATATTATGTGTCTATTAAATAGTCCTTAAATTTTCTACTAGCGTAACATTAACCAGATTTAAATAAAATGCTCCATTTGCAAAATAAAAGCATTTTAAGATTGCACTCGTATACTTCCCCGTGGAAAATTTTGAAACCATCATCACTTTCATAGTTCTTCTATTCTCCACGAGTGCCAACTTTGATTTGCCAATTATTTTTATCTAGATAAAAAATTTCTATGGTGTTGACAGATGGGATCGCTGCACATTTGAAAACGCCGTTATGGATTCTCGATCAAGAGTTAAGTTTCAGTTTCATGTCGGTTTGTCAGTGCTATAGTGCCGAGATGAGTGAAAATAACTTACTTGTGGGTACTTTTTTCTAACCGTGTAGGCATCCCTAAAAACGGATAAATCGGTACACTGAAAAAAGTTTTCACTTAGTTTCTATTAAGAACGCACATAATATTTTTCCAATAACAAATCAGGCATAACATTTGATAACGGCACAAAAGCATTTGTAAACAAACTTTCTAAGGCCCTTTACACGTGAACCAAAGTACGCCTACTAAAAAAAACAACATCATCGGATAGGGGCAACTATAACCTCTCCGAAAGTGGTATTGGTTTGAGTGGGCGTACTTTGGTTCGCGTGTAAAGGGCCTTAGAAAGTTTTTTTACAAATGCTTTTGTGCCGTTATCAAATGTTATGCCTGAAATATAATGATTTTTACCTGAATGTCAAATAAGAAATTCTATGTGAGGAATCATATAAATTTCATTGGACACATAACGTTCATGTGCTTTAGAGGTGCAATTTCCAATTATGGGATCACAGGAAAGTTATGTGAAAATCACATGGATATTTTCCACTGGTTATGTGATTTATTTTATGAGTGTAGGTCTGGCCACCCTGAATGCAATGTTCAGCTTGTATTGTCTCCTCTTCCTCTTAGGTTCGAATCCGAGTTCAACAGCTGTTTTTGTTTCGAAATCAAGATCAAAACGTCAAATTTTGTATATTGGTTGATTCTTGGTGGAGTGGCAAGTGCGAATAATTTGAGCAAAACTATTCACTTAAAAGTATATTCACTTAAAAAAAATGTCCAAAGTGATTCGAAGAGATATTTCACCAATGCTTCAAGAGTTACGTAATTTTCTCTTGGGTGTAAGGCAAACGTAAATATTTCGATTTCTGTGTCAGGCATGAGCATATTACGTAATTTCAGAGAAAACACAATAATGCACTTCGTTGGGAGGATGGAATAGCGGCTAGGACTCAACCCCCACCGAATTTGCCGGAAGGACCTTACCACAAGTAATCCAGTCGCAATTGTTGTGACCGTTTTGTAATGAATTATTAAATATGTTTTAATTTTTAGATTATCTGCAAACCATTACGTTCTGCGTGATGCTCGTCGTGAGGTTACTCATCCAATCAATCTGTCATCACCGGTATTGCTTGGGGAAAAAAGGTATGATTCATATTACATTCGTAATATTGGATATTACATTCATAACACATAATAAGATATTCACCCTTAGGGGCTGTTCATTAACTACGTAGACGGTTTTTTATGATTCTTGATCCCCCCCCCCCCTGCGTAGACAATTATCCATACAAAATTTTTGAAATTTGGGCCGTGGATAATTTTCAACCCCCCCCCCCCCCCCCTAAACAGTCTACGTAGTTTATGAACAGCCCCTTATCCGTTTTCCAAAGAATCGGATTTGGTTAGAAAAAGTGCCAAAAACTGAAAGGGACTGTATTCGAAATATTACCAAGAACTCTAAACTGGAAGGAAAAATATATTCCACTCAAACGATTTAGCGGAAACATTAATAGCACCAGGTATTGCGCATTGGCATTGCGCATATTATAAGTGCGGCGCTCTTATTCCTTGGAGGAGGTGTCGAGTTTCAAATTCAAAATGCAATAGAGTAAGTGCTCCAGTTTTGGCTATAGTTTCCTATTTTGGCCATACTTTAGAAAAACGATAAATCACAAACTTCGTGCGATTTATGTGCGATGTATGTTTACCTGTGCACAAAAAGCTCTGTCTATTATATGTATAAGTTTTTGAAAATACTATAATATGTTTGTTAATATTTAGAAATACTGATGATATTTAGAAATATTTGATGATATTTTCAAATATATCTGAGTTGTTTTGCCCCTTGCTTACGCCCTAACTTCAGATCTATCTAGTGTAATTATCAATTTTACCACCCTAATAAAAAATACCGTACCCGAACGATAACCCGAAGAATTATTCCACAAATGGTTTGAACACGTCGTTAGCAAAATAACCATAAAAATTTTATTAGGACAGGGCAAACATCGTTCAATATTATAGATACTATAGATTCCATAGATCAGAGTCGATTTTATAATAAGAGCAGGGTGGCAGAGAACCAGGAAACCAGGAAAATGTCGGGATTTTTTTTTTTGTTACCAGGAAAAAGCGGGAAAAACCGGGAATTTTAAAGTAAAACCAAGAAAACTTATAGTTTACAGATGCATGTCGGCATCACAAAGCAAAAAAATACTTGCAACTGCTCAAAAAGAAGCATCATTACTCGAAGACCAGATACACACACTTAGAAATACCTTATCTTACACGTGACGGAATCCATCTCTGACATAAAGGATGAGACATAAACAAAGATGTCATGTAAAATTAAGTGCTCCAAGACTGAAAAGCTCGCAATTACGTTTGATTGAGCTGAATTTCGCGTCTATTATGACTCAATTTTATGTTAAAATTGACGCTCGTATATGTCAGTCTCAGAGCACCTAAATTTGCATTAATTTTTCCAAGTGTGTATCTTAACCCTTAAATGCGCAATATTGTTTTAAAACAACATTATCCAAAAATGTTAAAACTTCTTTAATAGCTGGATCAACTTAGTGTTCTAGATGTACTTCCACAGTTGTTAATTGAGAGCTTTCTAAGCCTGTACCATTTTTGCATTAGTATTATTGTGTGGCAAGCACAATCATACTCTATACTCAGGGAAGTCGAGAAATTGTTCAACCCGAAAAATTCCTAGACCGGGGAATTCGAACCCAGCCGCCTTCAGCATGGTCTTGCTTTATAGCTTCGCCTTTAACGACTGAGATAAGGGAGGCTAATTGACCACTTTTTCAAGCAGTTTTGGCGTGACTTTCTACCAGCGATTTCACAAAACTGGACCAAATAATTTATATTTTTTTTATGAAACGCACAAATGTTGGCTACTAGAAGAAAAAATCTCAAAATAGTGTTTTGTTTCAAAGTTCAATTGACAGTAAACGTCATTTTAAGTGCTTGAATAAAGTGGTTAATTGATGAATTTACGCGAAACTGCACCAGTGCATGCGACGCCTAGGTTTCAAATTCAAAACGACAAAAGTGATGATGTACTAAAAAATATCCCATACGATTTGACAGGTAGCAAAACGTCATTATCATTTTCACATCATTTCCATCTGCTGGTCGACCGTAACGTAAATTCATCAATACCACAGACATACATACAAATTAGTACCGTTGTACCATAGAGGTAACTCTAAGACTACTGGGTCCCGAAGAAAATCATTATTATTTTTGGCTCACTCAGTACCAGAACAACGGTCCCAAGCAGTCCCAAGCTATTTTACTCACCCCTGCATGTTCTGCATGAATCCACACACCCCTGATGTTATCTGTCAAACTTTCATAGCGAATCAAAACAAACATAGTGTAGTAATAGAATTTCAACTAGAATAGGGTACGTTAATCGTTTGCTTGGGACCAATAGGCTACTAAAGTGGTGAGCCAATTTAAAATCGTTAGTTTCGTATTGATTGTTGGTTGTACCATAGAGGTACCTCTAAGACCAGAAGGTCCCGAAGAAACGAGCTCAACTTTTTGGCTCAGCTCTGGTACTATCATCGATCCCAAGCTAATCGATGCACCCATCTAAACATAGGAAAATCCACGAACCCCTTATTTTATCTGTCAAACTTTCATAACGAATCAAAACAAACATAGTGTAGTACTGGAATTTATACTAGATTGGGGTACATTAATCGATTTGCTTGCGACCAATAGGCTAGTCAAGTAGTGAGCCAATTTAAAATCGTTACCTCTATGGTACAACAATGAACTTTGTATGTCTGTATTTATTATTATTATTATTATCTTTATAATAGAGACTTTAAAGCAAAAAAGTAGTACTCGTAATAATGGTATATAAAGCTGAATTTTATCGTGCTTTGTTTCGAAAATATCTTCCAAATAAACAAACATCGTCCAAAATCACCCGATTCGTCCACCGACTAAATCTATTGCCATTTGCTTAAACATTAATTTCAGTCGGAGTATTAATCAGCAGACTAAATTGTGTTTCGTCTGGTGCTACACCGAGCAATCGGCCTATTTAATAGTTTTTCGTCAATGGATTTAGTCGGCCAACTTTGTCTGCTGTTTAATCGGCAGATGATTTCAAACCTTAACATGTTTTCTGTAATTTATGAGTCTTGAAGTAGCTTTTTATTTAGGAACAATGCATTACAAAATAGTTTTATGCATTTTGTACAAGATTCATCCATGCTGACAAGAAATTTGCATGAAATTACATTGAAATTAAACAATTTTGCAAACAATCAATGACATTGTCAAGGGATGTCACAGTATAACTGTCGGTTAGTGCTTATTCCAGGCACCAGGCAAGCAGGAGTTTAAGTTGGATTTCTCAATGGATCATTTTAGATGGCTGAGTTTTGAACCCACCACAGCTTTCATTTGGCGCTACTGTACACGGACGAACCAATGTAAAATACTGTGGTAGCCACAGTACGGTCCTGTCAAAACCTCAGCATCTTCAATGATCCATTGACGAATCCAACTTAAACTAATGCGCGCCTGGTGGCAGGAATAAGCACTAACCGACGGTGATAAGTATTTGGCAGCCCTTTGCAATGGATCAATGAAAAAGCAGAGGTTTAGACAGAACTGTACTGTGGCTACCACAGTATTTTACATTATATCGTCCATATACAGTAGCGTCAAAAGCATGCTGTGGTTGGTTCGAAACTTGATCATCTAAATTGATCAATTCTATTGATTGTTTGCAAAATTGTTTAATTTCAATGTAATTTCATGCATATTTCTTGTTAAAATGGATGAATCTTGTACAAAATGCATAACACGGGTACAATCGGGTGATTTGGATGATGTTTATTTATTTGAAAAATATTTTCGAAACAAAGCACTTTAAAATTCAGCATTACATTTATTATTATTTAGCTTTATTAAAGAGGCTTTCAGCCTTGGGCTGGTTCGCCTCCACTCAGCATTACATACATTACATACCATTATTAAGAGTACTATTTTTTTTTTTTTTGCTCGGATCATGTTTTGACTTCAACAGAAACTCGCTAGAATAAATTGAGAATAATAGTTTTTTGGTCGCAATTTCAAAAATGTATTCAGTTTGACACATTATTTCTGACTTATCACCGCGTCACGGTGGCCGATTCAAACTTGGATTTGTCAATGGACCACTTTGTCAAGCAGTTTTGGCTTGACTTTCTACCAGCGATTTCACAAAACTGGACCAACTAGTTTCTATTTTTTTATGAAACGCACAAATGTTGGCTACTTTTCACGAGGTTCTAGAAGAAAAAATCTCAAAATAATGTTTTATTTCAAAGTTTGAGTGGTAGTAAATGTCATTTTAACTGCTCGAATGAAGTGGTTAATTGAAAATTTTGTCGATTGCCCAAATTAGGGGCATTTAGGCCGACATTGATTTCCCCTAATTGATCATTTTAGATGGTCAAGTTTTGAACCCACCACAGCCTGCTTTTGTCGCTACTGTATATGGACGATCAAATGTAAAATACTGTGGTAGGCACAGCATAGTTCTGTCAAAACCTCAGCATTTTCATTGATCCATTAAATTTAGCTATGTAATTTAATATTCTCCAACCTAATGATGACTTCAATATCGAGTGACCATCAGGAAAGGAAAATATTAAATTATATAGGTAAATTTAATTCTAATAATCTTTATCAAACACATTTTCTATATCCTGAGTCTGGCGAATACAAATCGCTATCACCTTCAAACAGCAAACTACCTATTTCAAATTGATTAAACAAATAAATCAATAGCCGAATAGAATTCAATTACCAGTACTTTCTTTTTTCGGTCCGTTTATGGTTATGAATAAAGTAGAATAATAGAATACCGTGGACCCCCGTAAATATGAACGACACTGCTAGCCTGATTTGCTGTTTTGTTTTGATTCTGCGTTCCGTTTCGCATCGTTCTATTTCGCTTTTCTCCATTCCATCCAATTAGATAGCTCTGTAGCTCATTGCATTCCATTTGCTACATGACGTTTGAGCAATTTTTAATTTGCACAGCGTGCAGATTTGTGAGGTTCAAACGAAAAAGTGTTCAGATTAAAAGTGGCCGGACTACCGAGGGTCCACGGTAATGTCATCTGCAACCCGTGCACTTCATTTCGATCCATCCAGCATTACACAAATAAGTCTAATCAGTGCATTTATTTATAATTTATTTACAGCTCGGCAAAAAAGCTTCCAACTCCAGGAAAATCCTACGCATGGGATAAGCACTAGCATGGATACTGCTCTTGCATGATTCGTTGAAACTGTATAACGTTAATAAAATTTGGTAGAATTAAATTTGATTCAATTAGGCCGGAACAAATCACGAGTTTTTCTTTTGTCACTCGATGCTCACACCATAGTCAAGGGGGGAAATAAAAACTAAAACCACAGACAAACAGACATAACACTCGCAAGTTGTTCATCTAACAAGCATTTAACGGACTATTTAAAAGTATCGTAGTTGGTAGTACCAACAATCAATACGAATTTAACGATTTTAAATTGGCTCACCACTTTAGTAGCCTATTGGTCCCAAGCAAACGATTAACGTACCCTATTCTAGTTGAAATTCTATTACTACACCATGTTTGTTTTGATTCGCTATGAAAGTTTGACAGATAACATCAGGGGTGTGTGGATTCATGCAGAACATGCAGGGGTGAGTGAAATAGCTTGGGACTGCTTGGGACCGTTGTTCTGGTACTGAGTGAGCCAAAAATAATAATGATTTTCTTCGGGACCCAGTGGTCTTAGAGTTACCTCTATGGTAGTACCGTCACCTGTGGCGCGCATAGTCAATTCACTTGCGTTTGACGTTTACACACTACCGCCATCTGTTCAGCGGTGTGCCCATCACAGTGTACTCAACAGATGGCGGTAATGTTTTAACGACGATGTTTTACAGTGCGAAATATTAAATGTGTTATGTCTGTTTGTCTGTGCTAAAACATTCAAAATTCGTTTTACATCACATCTAAACCGTATATTTCAAACGTTTACATTACTTCTTAGTCTTTCCGAAAAAAAATAATTATAATAAAACAACGGAATTACAGTGATTTTAACTGGGTACATTTAATTTAAGTGTTAAATTGATACAATGCTCAAACAATGAAAATTAATGTGATGAGATTAAATTTGTTCTAGAACAATCAGTTTTTTTATTGTTAAGATGCTAAACAACCCCCCCCCCCCCCCCCTTTTTACTGTAAATTTCTCAAATACCATGATTTTAATTGTTGTGAACCATGAATTTCGTTGTGATTTCATGGTAATCAACAAAAATTGCCAATGTTTTCACAATAAATAGTATGGTTACAATGACAATCAAAATCATTTTATTTTTATTGGATTTTTTTGCGGGTTTGCTTCAGCCTTATAGGCCTTTTTAATGCACCAAAAACTTAGAGGGCACCACGCGAGTTAGAGAAGAAACGTCAACCAAACCGCTTGTTTACATCAGAAGAAGGATTTTTCACAACGCAAATTAAAGCATTTTTCAATGAACATCTTGCCGGTTTCCGTCGGTAATTGTCTTATTTTACGATTTTCCACACATACACACTAACTTTAGATTACTGGAGTCAGTAAAATTTTACTGGGTTTTTGAATTGCGGATCGCCCAGTAGTCATCACAGAAATAATTTGCATTACCGAACTGTCCGTAAAGTCAATCTGTCAAAAATAACTGTTCATTCAGTAATTGGTTCGAGTTGCGTATACTGGAAAACCCAGTAGTTTCTTTTTGTTTATTTTGCTGCAATTTAACTGAAAAGACAGTTATTTGGTTCATTATTATACCGTGTTACCCAGTTATATTAAAAGTAGTGAATTTGCAGTCATAAAAGCATGAATCCTGGTGCAATTCACCGTTTATAATATGCCAATTAATATGACGACTTAATCCCTTGACGTACCCCGGAATAGCGCGTCGACAGTGAAAGCAAACAATGCAAACATCCATTTTGTTAATCAAAATTTGTTGGAGATCAAGGAACTGCAAAAAGAGTAAATAATAATTGTTGGTACTAACGAAATAGTACTTCAATTTCGCTGTCGAGCTTTCTCAGTTCCGTCATGATATAATTCAAGTTTAAACAAAACCGCGCGATTAAACACTTGCTCTCGGATTTTACTGAAGCTAAAATGGCGGCGGGAATAAAATTGACAGTTTAGAGTTTTACAATTCGTGGTCGGTAAAACAAGGAGGCTATTTTGCTGACCAGTCGGTAAAAAAATAAAGACTACTTTGGGTACAGTAATTATTTTTGCTGACTTTTCGTGAAATCACGAAAATTTGAAATTAACGACTTTCTCAGTAAATAAATATTCTGTGTTCAGTATTTTGCATCAAACGATACCGAAGTTCAGTTTGTGTTTTGCAGAACGTCGGTTATTCACCTGATTTAAACTGAATGTTCAGTAAATCTTTCGTTTTACCACAAACGAAGTGACAGACGACTTACTGGCGAAGAAATCCATTAAAATAATGTGGTTCACTGTAATAGAATTTTCTTGGAAGCTTGTGCCATCATCCACCAGATGGGTTAGTTTTTTTGTTTTGATTTGAACAAAGTTGATTTTGTGTACAATGATTCTTTGACAGTGTGTAAAGAGTGCGTATCATTTTGTAATTTTTTTATGCATTTCAGTTTTGAGTAGAGTGAAAGAGATAGAACTAAAACATTCTAGTACATTCGGTTAAAATGCTAGTTCAATCTAGTAGTAGTGTTGCCATGTGGTACAATCATAGAGGTAACTCTAAGACCACTGGGTCCCGAAGAAAATCATTATTATTTTTGGCTCACTCAGTACCAGAACAACGGTCCCAAGCAGTCTCAAGCTATTTCACTCACCCCTGCATGTTCTGCATGAATCCACACACCCCTGATGTTATCTGTCAAACTTTCATAGCGAATCAAAACAAACATAGTGTAGTAATAGAATTTCAACTAGAATAGGGTACGTTAATCGTTTGTTTGGGACCAATAGGCTACTAAAATGGTGAGCCAATTTAAAATCGTTAGTTTCGTATTGATTGTTGGTACAATCCAGTAGTAGTGGTGTTGCCATGTGGTACACTGAAAAATTGCAATAGCAGGTTAGTCACCAAAGTTTTCGAGCCGCTCCGTCTGTCACTTCGTTTGTGGTTTTACCGTGTAAGCCCAGTACAAAAAAAAACCGAACAACTAAATGCTGGATTAGTGTGTATGAACTGATTTGCACCTAAACCACAAACGAAGTGACAGACGACTTACTGGCGAAGAAATCCATTTAAATAATGTGGTTCACTGTAATAGAATTTTCTTGGAAGCTTGTGCCATCATCCACCAGATGGGTTAGTTTTTTTGTTTTGATTTGAACAAAGTTAATTTTGTGTACAATGATTCTTTGACAGTGTGCAAAGAGTGCGTATCATTTTGTCATTTTTTTATGCATTTCAGTTTTGAGTACAGTGAAAGAGATAGAACCAAAATATTCTAGTACATTTGGTGAAAATGCTAGTTCAATCCAATAGTAGTGTTGCCATGTGGTACAATCAACAATCAATACGAAACTAACGATTTTAAATTGGCTCACCACTTTAGTAGCCTATTGGTCCCAAGCAAACGATTAACGTACCCTATTCTAGTTGAAATTCTATTACTACACTATGTTTGTTTTGATTCGCTATGAAAGTTTGACAGATAACATCAGGGGTGTGTGGATTCATGCAGAACATGCAGGGGTGAGTGAAATAGCTTGGGACTGCTTGGGACCGTTGTTCTGGTACTGAGTGAGCCAAAAATAATAATGATTTTCTTCGGGACCCAGTGGTCTTAGAGTTACCTCTATGATACTGCCATTTAATCTGGAAAATCACGTTATTTCAAAACTACCCAAATTGGGGTAGAATCCACCCAGATCGGTCAATACTGAACCTACCTAAAAATGGGTGAACAATAGAGATTGCTGACGTTTATCGTACGCACACTACGTCACGTATACGTATACGCAAAATGTTTTCATCGGGAAAAAAAAACTTCATAGCGAAAAATTTTCCCGATGAAAACAAATCACTGACACAATCATACTTTAGCAATCTCTATGTTGAAAGTGACAAGTTGACAAATGAACAAAGTCGATCGGATTCATGTCGATGTAGTCCATTTGTCAACTTTGCACTCTCAACATAGTTTACCCCTATTTGGGTAGGTACAGTTTTGACCAACCTGGGTTGATTCTACCCAAATTTCCGATCCCGGAGACCCAATCGAACCGTAAAAATTCACCGCTCGATTGGAAAGTATTGGAACCATGGTGGGTATATAAATGGTGATACAGCTTTGTCACTATATAGGCGAGGAGGTCGCGGGGGGGAAAAGTGCGGTTTTAAAGCAAATTGTAAACAAACTCGGTCGCTGTCCCATACAAAAATCCAACATGGCTGAATCATGAATTTGACACATTAGAACACCTATTTGTAGCCACCTTGATTGGAACAGCTTTTTTTTCAGTTTTGTGGTGACAGACGTTCATACTTTAACTAAAGGGCTTTAATATATCAAGAGCCACATGTGAAAAGGGCATACAAGCTTTTTGTAAACAAACCTTTGTAGGCCATTTTCTCGCCAACCGAGTGTCGCTCACGCAAACCAGCAATATCATCGGGAAGGGGAAAGTGTCCCCTACACGGTGATGTTAAAAGTTTCCGTTGGTGTCATATGGGTGGCGAGAAAAGGGCATAAGAAGGTTTGTTTACAAAAAGCTTGTATGCCCTTTTCACATGTTGTTCTGGATATTTTATTTTCAACTAGAGTCGGTGTATAATGAGTCACGCCAAGAGTGAAGCCAAGTCTACCTATTGAACTGTCAAACCGGCTACCTATCGTGCAAAGTAAATAAACATTACGATGCTATGAAAGGTCCACGAAAGGTATTGCAATAAAATATAAAATATAATCGAAGAAATGAGCATATACACGCAGTGAGCGCTAAAGTGTCATGGGATACGCTCGGTTATGATTAGTAATGAGAATTTCTACTATTTTTTGTTAAGATGATTTGACAAAATCACTGATATAATGATTTACTACAGCCGCAATATTTTTTCTCTCGCTAGAAGTCATTTGAAGTTGTTGTAGAAGTCCTCTGTTGCCAAGTGAAAAGAATGGGAATCTTCCGAAAACCGTGATGCGAGTTCAACTGTTTTTCTCTTGGCGTGACTCATTATACACCGACTCTATTTTCAACCACGCTTTGATGTCAAGTGTTAGTGGAATGATGTGTGCACACCTCTTAGGTGCACACCACTGTAACCAGATATGTCGACTCGAACACACGCTCCCGCTCATGTTTGGTATGCGTTAGAGTCGGTGTATAATTATACACCGACTCTAGTATGCGTGAGGTAAAAACACCTTACAACAGTCCCCTACTCATCTCTGTCAGTGTTTGTTCGTTAGGAAGACATTCGTTCAACGAAGCCAGTCCGAGAAATACATCTTTTACACGAGCTCATCGTCCGTCGCTGTTCGATAGTCAGAAGAAGAGGAGCGTGAAGTTTATCTTTTCAAATTTACTACACCAAATTTCGGTCCGTTTTTTGCTTTTGCTTCTTAAAAACCGCGATGCAGAGAAAGAAATGACACAGGATTAATCGGATTCGGCATTAGTTTTTGCGTTTTTCTGAATTCGAACGAGTTTTCGCGATTTTTCTTCCGTCACCGCAGCAGCAGCGATCAGAAAGGCTCATCGTGAAAAGAAGAAAAAATTGGAAGTGGAAGAAGAGTGACGGCGTAGAACGGAACAACGAGTGTGCCTGGTGGAACGCCTCGGAAATTCAAAAGAGAGGAGCAGAAAAATAGAAGATTGTGAAGATGTACAGTAAAATGAATGGATATCCATCATCAACATTTAGGTCGAGGTATATATTTAGTATACAATAAGAGAAAAAGTGCTTTTCACAGCCTTTGCCAAACGTACGCCTGGAAAAAGGACGCCGTAGGGATAACATTGACCACGATTATAATTTATGAGATCGATACGGATCAAATTCGTGTAGTGTATACGGAGTGCATATTTTTCGCAGAAAGCGATGATTTTAAACACTTTCCAATATGTTGTGTATTTTTGTTAATAGTTCTTTTTTTTTTCTTCAATTTCATGTGTGCTGAAATGATCTCAGTGGTGGCCGATTGTGGGGAATGTCACACTCGCTTCCGTCAGGAATGGTATGAATATTTGAGTGGATCCATTTGTAGAGTGGAGTTTAGGCTGATACTGGCTAAAATCTGTATATAAATCACTAAAACACTAAATAATCCTTAAGCAAATTGGTCATCGAACGTTATCGGTAAAGCGTCAAGTAGTGACACTAATTGGAGAAGGATTTCCAATTTGAACAGGTAAAGAGCGACCTGTCGTTTCTGTGGTAGGATGTGGGCTGGCTGCGACTGTGAATAAGGTGCTGCGTGCTTATTGGAAACGTATTGAATGTAGAAAAAATACATATTGCAACCGGAGGCTGTTCCACTCATGCCGGCGACAATCTGTCGAATCTGTAGCATAATTATGCATTTGGCATGAGTTCCTAAGCAAAGAGGGATAATAGAGAGATGGAGATGTATGGATTGCATGGTCCATGTATGTTCATTGTCATTTTGAGATATGATTTAAATTTTTCAGTATTTTTTCTTTGCATCTTCACCCCTTGTGATAGATTGCTAAAGTTCTTTAACTGCATTTATCTCCATTCCACTTCTTTCATGCCTTTGGAATTGTTTTATCCTAAATATTGTCGTTATTTTAGGTACTCTTGTTAACGTAGCATTTTATCCATCGCGAAGGCAAAATAATAGGGTAAAGTTTCCCCAAAAGCAGATACGTTATTTTGAAACTTCACTTTTGAAATACTGAACAAATTTTAATCTAGTTACCTACCATGAAAACAGTATCGTATTTCTCGCGTAACATTTGAAAAGGGGCCTTTGTCCAAAATGTAAACAAATCGTTTTCTGATACCATTTTATAGCACTGGTAAATAATTATCAATCGAATAGGAATGTTCCGTATTTCTGATAAAAATCATTGAAAATAACATGAGTTTCAAAACGGCCGATCTACGACATTTTTCGATAGTCAGCTAAAACGGCCTAATATAAATATATTTTTTGTTCCAGTGACGTGAAGGTCCAATGATTGAACAATTTTCTAATCAAAACTAGGCTCTATTGCTGCTTATTTGTTTGGATGATTCTGTTGGTAAGCACAACGGCTTAACAAAAAGGGCCAAACCATTGAAATTCACAAAACAAGTTTATTAATTTGTAAAATTAAATTTTTATCGAATTTAATGTATTTTTGAAAACTTTTCGCATATTTTGAATTTTGTGTACTGAGATACAATTACTTTTGTTATTCAGACCAAATACTGTCTAAAATACTTGAATTTCATTACATATGAATTGAAATATCGACGAAACACTTTACACTTCATATTGTGGACATAGGCCCTTTTCAAATGTTTCGCGATTAAAATCAGTAATCTTTAAAATAATGTCGGCGGTTGAAATTTATCTTTTGAAATTTTAATCCAGTTCAGATACTGTACACAGAAAAAAAAGTTGTTGAATATTACATTCAAACTGATGCAACCAGGTCAATCCATCGGTTGTGTAATATAACGTTGTACGATGTACATCGATTTTGCGAACAAAATGACATCCATTGATGTAATATGGTATCTGCTTTTTGCAGAGAAACCAGTGAAAAGTGTACGTTCGTCGTTTCGATTTCTCATTATTAAAGTGAATAAATAGAACTGTTTGTTGCTAAGATGATTTCGGTGGTCCTAAAATGATAAATGGGCTGCAAGTAAGGAGACGTAATTGATAATTCTCCCGAATATCCTGGTAAATACACTTTGACTTAAGTAACAATAGGGGCCACCAAACGACGTATAATAGCTTTTGACTTAAAAACCAGTATTTTTTAGCATTAAAGCTAGCGATTTGCATTTGTTGTATGATTAAAACCCGGCTAAATATGTTAAACATTGCTATCACTATGAGATTATTTGGGTTTAATTGGAAATAGGAATAACTTTTCGGTCATCAAAACAAAACTTTATTTTTCTTGGATCGGTGCGAATGTTACTTACGACATAATGAAAATTTGCTCTTGAAATTGCCATTTCGAACGTACACGCTAACTTCTGCTTACTCACCAGGTGAGTCGATCGTACTCACTTTCGTCCGATGTATCGAGTTGTCAAAAATTGAGTAAACGAGAAATGTCAAACTGAGTAAAAGCCACTCAGTCAGCAAAATTCTGGACTTGGAAAAAATGCCAGTCATGTCGGAGGAAACCTCATAGGAAATGTTACTTAAAACCGGCTGAAATGCCTTCAGGTAAGTACGAATTGCTTAGGGAAACGGTGTTGAACCAGTTTCTGCTCCGGTAGAATGAATGATAGTTCATCCATATATTCGTACTTTGACGCGAAGCGCTGTGGATTATGAGATGCTCGATTACCCTGGAGGGATCGATTTTGCTTACTGAGCAGAAAATCATGGATTTAACCCCAAGCTCTTCCACAGCACAATAAATCGCCACCATCATTTGTATATTTGATATTGAACATTAACCTCGGAAACTATTTGCATATCAAGCGAAAACGTAGCCCTGTATTGTCGCGAAGCGTTATGGTTCTGAGATGCTCGATGACCCTGGAGGGATCGTTTTTGCTTACTGAGTAGAAAATCATGGGTTTAATCCCAAGCTCTCCGTCATGACTCTTAAAATTCATTATCACTAAACAAAATTAATATGTTCTTTCGATAGCCGGCTATCGAGAGATTAAATAAACAACAAATAAACAATACATATTTTTGGTTGCATCGCCAACTTGAGGTGAATCCTAACCGAATACCCTACCCAACCCTCCAACTCCGTAGCACTTATGAGGGTGTCGCTAAGTCGGTGGCCTCTCGTTAAGTAAGTACTACATCAACATTTCCTTCCCTATCCCTAGTTATGGTAAAGATGGGCGTGGCCGGGAATAGCGACAGTCATGCTTCTGTTACTCTTGTTTAGATTGGAACCAATGTTTACTCCCCAGCATTATTCCTGAAAGTAGTCTAACTGAGAATTTCAGAAGAGACGTGACTGTCGTTAGTATCCAATCTACGAAGTATATCATAACAACGCTAACGCTCACGGTAGAATGAATCCGGAGCAGGCAATTTCCATGTCCTTGAAAAAAAAAATCATAACAAAAACCCTCCCAGCAAATGAAAATTCCGCCGAGTGGATTTGACTCAGTCTACGTGAGAACGTCGTTTACTCAAAAGTGAGTCAACATAAGGCTACTCAATTTTGATTAGCCCTACTTGCCGCTGAGATCAGTACATTCGACTCAATTTTGAGTTAACCAGAATAAGCGTGTACACTAAACATGCACCAACTTGAAGGTACACACTAAGAATTTTTAGAGTATTGGACTGAAGTTTTTTACCGAATATGGAACAGCAGAACATTTGGTAATGGATTCGGTATTTTTTTTTTTTTTTGGTTTTACAGTACGTTCAGTAAATTCAACTTCATTCTTGAGGTGTCAAAGTTTACTGAACCGCACTGTAAATATTGCTGAATGATTGGTAAAGTTTACCGAACGTTTTGTTGTAGCATTTTGATGAGTTTTTTTTTTTCAGTATTTGATGGAAACAACAACAAATAATTTATTTGAAACAAAAACAATTTTTTTCCTTCGTTGCCATGAGATAGCAAGCGAGAAGGTTTTATGCTAGTGATCCCTCGACTCCTCGAGAAACATACTCGGAGAAAAAATACTACCCAAAATTTGAGTTCTTTTTACTTAATATTGGCTTCAGTCTCTCACTTGCACTCGTTATTGTTGTCAAAAAGGAACGAGAGATTCGACCCAACGATATAGTTCAGCCCAATAAGTTACTTTTGAGTAAATTGCATATTCTCAAATTTACGTGAATTAAACTTAATTTTGGGTAGAATATACTTAAGTGTAGGTAATTTTTTTGTTGGTTTTAAATGAAAACTACTATATGCGATTTACTTAAATTTGGGTTATTGGGGTGAACCCCGGAATTGAGGGAAAAGTACTTAATTTTGGGTAGTTTTTCATCTCCGTGTAGAAACTTGACTCTACGTAGCTAATATACCAAATAAACGATTTTTTTTTCTAATATCCACTTTCTGGGAGAAAATAATTGGAAATTTTATTCTCAGCGGTTTAACTTTCAAGTGCATTTCCGTCGTTTATTGTAGGTTTATGCATACAATTTTCGTGATCAAATTAAATTATCATATAAAAACAAGAATGCCGTGTTTTCCCAGAATTGGTATTTTGATAATTATCTTCGTCTAGTGAGTCCTATAAAATAATAGTGCAGAGCATTACACAGGGGTCCAAAAGCTGTATATAGGATGAATAAATTGCTTGCGTAGACCATTCGTTTTAGGTGAATAGTGTATTCGAGAATGTTTTTACATTTATTTTAGTTAATTTTTTGATATTAAGGGTGGTCCTTACGGTTCATGAGCACTAAATATCAACTTTTTAGTTATTGAAGACCGGTCTCTATCTAGTACAGTATTTGATAAAGTTGTAGAGCAATTTATTTGAAGTAACTTTGCTGAAAAACAAATGTTTTATTTCTAATGGTTCACGTTTTATTCTGGTGAGTAGCTTAGGGTTACCTCTGTAAAATTGTTATTTTTCTATTAAATGTTTATACATTGTGTGTGTATTCCCTCTAACCCCCACTGGCCGGCAGTGTTATTATGGAAGAACTCTCTCTACAATGTCACATTTATGGTCATTGTAGACAGCTTTAGTCCGGGAGTTAGAAGGTGATAACTCTACTGCAGATCCAACATCCCATTTCAGAATGTCTGGAGAGTCACGCCCATTCCGAGGTTACTTTCACTCACAATAAACCCCGAATGTGGGCATCACCGTTATCAAATGGATATTGGTTATATATACACACTTCCAGGTTCGAAAATATTTTTTTCACACCTGGCATGTAGGGGAAATGGCTTAAATGTTGGCCTATAGATCTAAGATTGGGTCCATCGCTAAAAATCTGCTATTTATTAATTGATGAACGCGTACTAATGGATATTTTTGGTCGCTATTGACAATTTAGTCGATTGCTGTATTTATGTATGGACCCAAATTATGAGAATTTAG